AATTTCCTGCAAGTTCCAAGTCAGTGTAAAATTTTTCTTCAGCTCTCAATACACAAATAAGGAAAAAAAGTTGTTCTGATTCTCTCCCCCAGATTATAGTATATTTCTTCTCTTTCTGAGCCCTTTCTGATAGCCTTTAATAATGCACTCCCAGCTTTGCTCTTCTGTCTCTTCCTGTCAGACTAGACCTTGGACTTCTTTTTGTAGCTCAGTGGCACAGTTGCATAGACAAATCTCACACGAGCTGAAATAACGCAACGTCCTTTTTCCCAGAAAAGCAAGGTAGTTCTGAAAACTGTTTCATGATGTTCTATTAGCATGTGGCTTTTTATTGCTTGGGTTCTGGATGTCTTTTCCTGCAATGTGAGGGCTTAGTGGGTTGTGCTTTTTCTCAGTATGTCTGTCCATATGTCCATTTTGCATCTGCAGATGCTTCTCTACTTCTGCCCAGTGAAACAGTGATTTTGTCCCATCCAGTCACTGCAATATTGGCAATACCAGCTCTGCAGAATAAAAGGCTGTTTTTATCCTATGGATCCAGAGGTACCAACTTCTTAAAGGCAGAGTGCAGGAAAATGCACAACAAAATCTTCCTTTGGTCCAGGTGGAGGTTTGGTATTCAGTCCCACTCAGATTGTCTTGGAAATACAGAAGCAGGAGATATGTTAGGGTAGGCTGTACCTGTAGAGAGTCATGAACACTTATTGATTGTCCTTGTGTTCATGAAAGTGTCACAGGTTCATCAAAGATATTTTTTTGAAGTTAGAACCAAGAAGGACTTGAGAACAGGACTTGGATTTTTGTTTCTCATCCTTCTTTCTGAATTCAGTTGTTTCCTTTTGGGAGAAGAAGGCTGTCCCTACATGATTATCTCCTTTTGTGTTTGAGGGTTTGCATTCCCATTTTTGCCCTTTCATATTCTTCTCTCTGAAATGTACTGGACATTATTCTGCTCCAGAGAAGGACTGCCACCCATTCTAGAATACCTGGTTGTTTGAATAATATCTGTGATGCGCGGAATGTACCGTCTGCCTCCTTCACGTTATATTTTGACCAAGTGATGGAAATTAACCTTGTAAAGTAATACACCACTGAGATAAGGATTTAAAAAAATGTGTTCGACACAAATAAAGGGAAGACCCTAACTCCTTTCATGGAGAAAGAAGTCTTGGTAGAGTCGTTCTTTACTGGAAAGCTCCATCAAAGGCTTCCTGAAATTCTGCGAGTCTTTTCCACACTATGTCTCTTGCGTGAAGCAATGTTGGTGGGGCACCTTTCCTGAGTGGGGAGATGCAGCCGGGAGAGTGTTCATATTCATGCCCGTGCTGTCACCATCGCCTCTATCACTGTGCGATTTTTCCTTTCGTGGAATG